GTCAGCGGACATTTAGACATATTATTTAGTCCTGTAATATAGGCCAGCATACGATGAGAGAGAGGGGAGAGAGCAACCGAATTCTCTGCACCCTCCTCTGTGTGAAAAGTCTCATATGCGTCTAGCGGAAATGTCGCTCCGCTCCCTGATCTCTGGAGGTAGCTATCAGGACGCCATTATTTTTTAACCGGTCCTACAGTGTGAACGGAAAGCGCGTCTGTCCTCCTGTCCGTCCTCCCGCCTGTCCTAGCCGACTTCTTGGTACGTGTCTGCGCCGAAAAACACGTCGCGTCACCGGCGAAAAACTCGAGAGTGTTAAAACTGATTCTCCGGTCTTGAGAGTGAGGATTCAGTTTACTGCTGTGTATGTGATGGGGCGGGTCTAGGTGGGAGGGCGTAGCGGGTAATTGTGCGCGGAAGTGGAGAGTGAAAGACGGCTGAACTTTGCGTATCGGCCGAGAGGTGTTGGCGGTGGCGTCATGTTGATCTCAATCATACACATAATAACAGCATCCATCATGATGTATAAACGGTCCGCGCGTTTAGATTTGACAGGGGAGACAACTGGAAACACCTCAACACGGTGACTCTGCAGTGATTGCTCTGGTGCGCAACGGGCTATTGGTGGCTATCGGGTGGCAATGCTAGCGGATTCAGAAAATCATTTATGAAATATTTATTACTCTGTGGTTAGTTTCCAAACAAAGCTGCACACCCTTAAACCAGCACAGCAGCATGGTTGAAACTCTCAGTCAGTCTTTGATCCTACGGCAGAAATGTTTTTGGAGCCCAGACACACACACAGGGACAGAAGACAGGACAGACAGACAGAAGACAACAGACAGACAGACTATAGGACAACAACAGGACAAACTAAACAACAGAGGCCAACCGACCCGCGGAGATTTTACAAGAGAGTGTAGATATATTACATTGTAGACATGGTCCCACCTTCAAACACAACCTCATTTGGCCATCCATGAAAAAGCTACTTAACCTCACACTTTTCTATAGCAATACATACTTCCTACGGGCACTGCACTAGTTGTTTAACTTTTCCAACTGGTCAGGTTGAAATAAAAACTCAAACAGTCCAGAATTATTTCATCATTATGGGAGTGATCTGATTTTATGATAGATGTGGCATGAGAAGTAGGAGGTGTGCAAGCTATCGCCTGCAGCTCTTCCTCTAACAGCTCACTGTGGCTGTTTCTTCTGGTTCCATTACTCCCTGCAATATTTCAGAGTGATCCAATGTTACGCCAGTTAAATGCTTTTTAATGTGCGTCAGGTCAATACAGTGGGTTTCTCTCAGCACCCAGATCACCTTCCTGCCTCCCTGCTAACAGAGCTAGAAAAGACACAATAAATGTGGAGCTGGAATGGACTGTGCTAAGTGTGGAACTACCAATTAATCTATGTCAGTGTAGGAGATGAGCCCTGCATCCGTCATAGAATGTGGGAGGCAGTCCAGTCAGAAGTAGTCGCAGCAGTAGAGTTTACCTCATGTTGGTGATAAGTTTCTTGATGGAGTCAGACACAGTCCTGGAGTGTCCAGCCAGCACTGACCATTTGGGGGGGTCTTTGGGATTTACAGCCAGAGAGCGGGCAGTCTGGATCAGGCCGGTCGAGCTCTCAAGCATCATCTTTGCTGCAGCCACAATGGGCTCCATGGCTGCATGACCCTGAGGAAGGTAAGTGGAAATGAGCACATCAGTTTCTTAATGTAATTGGTGACCTCCAGGTATACACCCTTAATAGTGCTTCCTCTTACTGACCCAACTGAATTATTTAACATAAGAGCAGAGAGTTAAATATCATTGTCAGATGATGCTCTCAATGAATTTCTGATTGAATCTGTTTAGGTGAGGGCCTACCTCAGGGCTGATCTGAGCAGGAATGCTGGCGAACTCTGGGTTGGAGGCGAAGGCAGTCAGGTTGTCAACAGCTTCTATCAGAGGACCAGTGGCAGCCTTACACTTCTCTCTGTTCTCCTGGTTAAAGGCTCCATCCAAAGCCTGCACAGGGAACAGGGCATGGTATCCACGATTACACAGATTGTATCCATTGGTTCATTTGTTGGCTGGCATTGCAGCTAGCTGGCTAACCTTAGCTTGTTTGCTTGCTATGTCATCACTAGCAAAATACTATCTTGAGTGGATATGTTAGTTGGCTAATGTTAGCTTGACTTCCCCAGCTAATGTGATCCATGAAACTAACGTATGTATTATGAAAAAAGGTTAGGGTTGTTGACTGCAGTTCACAACTTCACAATTTTTTCTGAAAGTTGCATATCGCCTTTAATTGATGATAAATTTGAAAGACGTGTACTACAAACCTTTATGGACTTGACCAGGTTGGCAGTGGTGTTGGCCACCTCTTTGGCTGACTGGACAAACTGCCTCTTGGCAACAGGGTTTGGAGTTTTGGAGGAGGCCAGACGGCAGGCGTTACACAATGCAGAGGTGTGTTTCGCCACAATAGTGGCAGCAGAGAGCACCTGAGCAGAGAAACAGTGCACAGAGGTGAATCGAGAATGTTATCAACCACATTAAGACTAATCAAGACATAGAAGACTGATGATAAAACTGACCTTTAGTGCGATGTTGCAGAGAGGTCAGCACATACCTGAGATTGGGTGCAGGCTGGGTCCACCAGGTTCTGGCAGGCCATCTGAATTGACTGATTAGCCCGGGCAAACTGAGCGGGGTCCACAAGGCCTTTCTGACCTGCTGTACTGTTGGGGTCTGATACTCCCACCAGATAGGCAGCCTAGGGACATCAAATGGTAAATGGACTGTACTTGTATACACTGCATGCCTCGCTCTACCTCTGTGCCATAGCCGCTTTGATCAACAGATCACTGATCAGTTACATTGTAAGAATCACAAAAGCACGTCTTACAAACACAACCAAAACGCTCTCATTGCCAGCCTACTCAATATGTCTCTGAGTTGATGTCTCTAAATAGTCTCAGACCAATGCAATATTAAAGTAACATTCAGTAATGATTTTTACCTGTGCAGCTGCTTCAGTAAGACCACACAGGGCTTTGGAGCCAGCACTGACTGAATCACCAAACTCTGGTAGGTTAGAGTTCTTGGCATTGTGGGAGATGCCAGCCATGGACTCACCAAGGACCTGTCAGGGACACCAGAATTTCATATTAGTGGACAACCCGCTCTACCTCTGAGCCACAGCCGCCACCACTGATTATACTGGGATAAACAAAAACTCAACAGAAAAGTAATCACTGAAAAATGCATAACCATAACAGATAACTCGACTTAAAACGTAAGTTATGGGTATCAAACCTCAATACTGTATTGGTAATGACTTAATTGTGTCAGTAGCACACAGTATTTAAAAACTGTCAAGTACTGAAAGCATTTCATTTATTATCTTGTTTACTTCATAAATAAAACAATTATGAATAAAAAATATTTTTTATTTAAACAGTTCTGCTTGCATGTAGGCAAATTTAACATTTGGGAAGTTTGACTTCTTTTGCCAAATGAAAAGAAGTGTAGAAATATAAATACATGTCAAAGTAGGTTTTGGTATCAGTAATATAACTCGGCTATTGTATTAGTCACTGTGAGAAATGGACAGAATGTTTAAAAGGCGATGTCTGCAAAGGAGAACAACTGACCCTTCTTAAGTCCCGCCCCATTTTGCTCTGTGCTCCAATAACAGTTGAGCAAGCCTCGGCCAGAACCTCTGTTAGCTTTACATAGATATGCTATATGTCTATGTTGAAAAAAAGTGACATATTGTCACAGCTAATGTTAGCTAATGTCAACAAAAATTAGCTAACTATTACAATTTATGTAAATTAGCTTGCAAGTAAGCTAGCGTTCTACTAATATATATATCACTTTTATCTTTTAGCCATCTTCAAAATGTGGTTGTCTTTTCAACATAGATTAGCACAGAGCAAAAAGGGCCAGGACTTAGGAGGGGACAATTTTACTCTGTTCCTCTTTATCAACAAAAATCAACAACTGCTGATGAACTCAACACAACTAACTAAACCTAATAATAAACATAAACAGTCTCAGAAATGCCTATAATTAGTGCCATAGAGACTTATTAAGTTATTAGAAAATAAAGTGTTATGTAACTTCAGCATCTTCGGTACAGAAGGACAGCCCTTCCTCTTGAAAATAAATGTACATTTTAATGCAGTGAAACAGCGGCTATTGTAAGAGAAAGTAAACTGTTGTTGCTTTTCTACAACACACCTTTCACAAAGATGCAAAGAAATGAGAGGAGGGTGATCAAAGAAAAACAGCATGGGAAATAAATGATGGGAAGGTAGAAAAGCTGTATGTTCTACCTTTGAGTTCTCCATGACACTGTCGATGCAGTCAAAGTACGACAGCTCAGTGACGGCTTCTGTTGGGTTCTCCAGCATCCCCTTCACCGACTGCACACAGAAACAACATTCACGTACCTACACACCTTCAGCTGAATGTCGCATTACCGTTTTATAATTTTCTTTATTATTAATGATTTAAAAGTAATTTTCTCTGCGGACATGACAGGATCAATCATTGATATATAAACCAGTCCCAATAAGCTGCTCAAGAAAAAAACATCATGTATGGTTGTATAATGGTTGTATGATGGTTGCATGATGGTTGTTACCTCCAGCTCCCTGAGAGCATTGTCACACTCCTTCTGACCTGGAGCCTGCTGAGTGCACATGGTGATGATCTGGTTGATACTGTCTGTAACTGCCCTGTGAACACAAAGGTTCAGAGATGTAAAAGACAGTAAAGACGGCTAGGCGGTTAAAAAAAAGAGAGCGAGGGACATGTTTGTTACCGAGCTGCAGCTGCTAGCTGGTTCTTGAGGTTGGGGGAGCTGGGATCGGTGGAAAGGGCTTTGGCTGCCAGCAGCAGCTTGCTGGATGACATGGAGATTGTTTTTAGGTTGGACACCACCTGTGTCTGATCTTCTTTAGACTAGAAGAGAGGAGGAGGAAGGTATGTAGAGAATTTAAGAAACTTTACAGTTATAACAACTGCTTACCCAAATAAATTGATTATGCCTCAAACTGACTCATGACCACTTATCCTGATGACATGGCATGTTCCTTCATTACCAATTACATACATTTTGACTAAATCCCTTATACACCGCCCTGCTTCCCCAAATATTCACTAGAGCACCAATCCGTTGCTGAAAGTCCTGTTTGAGTAATGTTTGCCAAACACTACAGTGTCCAGCTGTTTTAAGAAATTACTGAGCCTTTCACCTAAATTAAACTATACATTTGTCAGCAGTTTATAAAGATTTACATCTTCAGTAAGAGCCCAAATTTTGATTGTTGAGAAAAAGACAACACTGAATATCTGTAAGCACATATACAGGAAAATATATACAAAACTGATCATGAAGTAGTGAGTTCATTCACTTGTCACTTAAATTCCTATTTATACAGGTTTTCTTTGATTTGTTTTGAAGCTGCTGAGGATAAGTTAGCTTTGATTTGATTTGATGCTGAGTGAATCAGAGGGGTCACTGCAGTTCCAGTTCAAAAGCAGTTTCACTTCTCCCTTTGGTTGAAAGTTAAAATCCTGTTTCGCTTCCAGCCAGCATCACTTATGTATGAGTATTCTCTCATACTGACCTGGGATGTTCCGGCCATGTCAACACCAGCCTCCAGGAAGTTGCTGAAGTCCTGTCCAAACTTGCTGGTGGCCCTGGCCAGGTCCTGGGTAGTCCCCCTGGACGCCTGAACCACCTCGTTGGCTGACTGGTTCAGACCAGCCGCCACCTCGTTGAGCTGAGCCTGAACCTCCTGGAAGCTTCTTCCACTGGATGGGAACTACAGAGGAAAGAGGAGAAAAATGAGCAAATAGCAACATGGCAGCATCTGAAAAATTGAAATAAAAACGTAGGTGGCTGCTGGCAAATTGTTCTCAGAAGTAAGAATGCATGTTTGTATGAAACATACAGCCTTTCCATTTATGTTTTTGGCTAAAGAAATAATAAAGAGAAGATTTTTAACATTTAGAAATTGTTTGCGTTGTTAATGATTCAGTCAATTTCTATACAAACTACCGTTACTATTATGAATATGAATATTACTAGTCCATGTCTAAAAATGCCTTTTACAGTCCTGATAGAAACTTCAGTATGTGGAGGTTGAAAGCTACATATTTTTTTAAATTTTAACCATGTATGGAAATGAAATTTATGCAGCTTTAGTTATTTTTTTTGGGCCACTTGGGGGAGGCGGAACAAGATGAAAACACAACATCGACATGTCATCACCAATAAAAGTTGTTGTTTGTTAGCAAAAACAGTTGCGTATGTACACATTCTGCAGACTTGGAGCAACAACATTCACCCCACCTCTGTTGATAGATCAGAAACCCTAACCCATATCTATTTCACTTACAGAATCCGCTAGGAGTGTCTTGCTGGCTTCACCCACAGTGCGGATAGCATTGTCCACATCCCTCTGGCCAGGAAGGCAGTTCACGCACCTGTTCAGGGCCTGAGACACTGCCTTAGCCACCTACACACACAAACACAAACACACGCACACAGACAATGTGTAATGTTGATACCCAAGTCAGATACATTTCATGTCTCTGCAAATTCATTTTCATCATGACTGAGTCATTGTCTTATCACTAGCCAGCTAACAGTCTCATTTCACAAACAGTTCATGTGACTACTTGCCAAAACTAATCCTTTCATGCACAGCACAGGTTAGCTCATCAGCTAATCATGGTAGCAACAGTAGTTAGCTTACCAGTTAGACACAGTACTCTATTTACTGTAGTACTACATGAAATATAATGGAACTATCAGTGAAGAAGAAACTGTAGTATCTTTCCCTCCCTGTCCCTCAGTCTGTGTCTGACCTGGGCCAGCCTCTGCTGACTCTCTGCATCGCCTGGCTTGGCAATGGCCCTCTTGGTTTCTTCGATCAGGTTGGCGGACTTATCCATGACATCACCGGCACAGTCCAGCATGGCGTTACGCGCTGATGAGTCGCCTGTGGTGGCACCAACTCCTCTGGCAGCTGAGGCCAAAGACTTCAGAGCCTGGGCTATGTCTCTGGCTGCCATGCCTGGATCCAACAGGAGAGAGGAGAGGAACTTGATGAATACCACATGAATGCAAGTGCTACTATGGGGACCGTAATTAATAAAAATTAACTACAAATAAATAAATAAATAAAACACATTACGAAACAAATAACCATATGGATAAATCCTGACAAAACACATCATACAACACATTATTAAATCTCATATTTCATTCTGCTTCTAAAAGTTATGGCAGCAAATTGTGTCCAGAGATGGCTCATTCAGACCAAAGCAACAGCCAATCATATATGCAGCACTGTTTGTCTTGACTGACAGAAAAAGACTGAGATAATAAATGGCATTATGAAATTATTGGTCTTTACATAAGTAAAAACAGACTTTAGACATTTTGAAATAAATGAATGAAAATAAAAAGTGACCTGCAATAAACTATTTGATAATTAGAAGTTTACAAAAATATATATGAACATAGTTATATTATGTTTGTTGTCTGAATTTATTCATACATTTTTTTTATTATGTACAACCTGGCACAAGCAGTCAGCATGTGTTTTTACATTTCTTATTTTAGTTTATTTTACAGGTGCTAAAAAATATTTTTTATTGTTACACTTTTAATTTCTAACATTTTGGTTGCAGTAGTTTATAGCTACCTTTACATATCAATATTTTTGTGGCAACACCAAGTGGCTGCAAATGAACTTGAGGCTGGCTCCAAAAGTGACTCAGTCTCCATAAGACCCCATATTAAAAAGCCCAACTTTACAGCAGAAATAAACAGTTAATGACAACTGTACATTTAAATTATATAAAGGCTTAAAGTTATGCATAATTAAGGCCATTGCTGGAGTGACTGGTGGGTGCCATTACAGGCGGTTGTTTTCAGCGTTCCACCGATTTGCTCACTTTTGGATTTGCTGGGAGTCTGTGGAGTCTGGACTGCCAAGATGGCGATGGCCAGAGCCGACAACACTGAGCTTAACAACAGCTCTTCAGAAACCTATGGGTGACGTCACAGAGACTACGTCCATTTCTAATTATGCACTCTACAGTCAAAGCAAACTCAGACTGGTATATTGTAAACATTTCTGGATGTGACGTGATGATCAAAACAGAAGAGTGACATTTAATTCTCCGTTGTCTCTTGTCTAGGCATGTTAATGTTAAACCCACCTGTGTAGTTCTCATTGCCCTGGGTGGCCTCACTCAGCAGCTGGGCGATGGCTGAGCTCACAGCCTTGGTGCTTGTACCCAGATCCTGGGAGCATTTCTCAAGCTGAACAACACAGAAAAAACCCTGTTATTCATACTGTTCTATATACATTTCTTCAATGTGTCTATTTGGTAATCTGTAAAATTAGGCTTATTTCATGATTTGGCGCAACCTGATAAGGAATAAAAATTGTGCTGTATGTGTGCGTTTCACCGTCTCTCCTGGCAGGGGTTTGAGTTTGCCCTCCTCAGCTGAACTCTTGGCCTCCTTCATGTCTTTCTCCAGATCTCTCACCATTGACAAAGCGTTGTCTATCTCCAACGGGCCGCACGCTTCCTGAGCCTGCACGGACACACACATATGCACAATGTGTTGCTACAAGTAAAGGTAAGGTAAGGTTCTGTGATTGTGTTAGTGACTGTTGGTGAGTCATAAAGACAGTATAATAAAGAATGTTGATGGGTAGTACCTTCTGTGAGGCAGTGCGGAGCTCAGCCAAAGCACTGGCCAGGTTCTTAGCACACTGGCTAAGCTGCATGGCTGAAGCCTGGTCACTGATGGTGGGAACTGTGGCCTTGGAGGCTGTAACCATCTTAGCACCAGGCTGGTAGAGGAGAGGAAGAGACAGACTGGTAGCACTGGGTTTCATTTAAACAAGATTAACTCCACTATATGAGCCTGGATGCTTTAGCAAGAGAGCTAAACCAAGAATGGGTCTCAAACATCTTATATTTGGCCTAAATGTGGCATCACAGGTACAGTTAAAGAGTCATTAAAATCAAAAGGGGCTTAAATGATAAATGGACTGTACTTGTATAGCGACTTTTAAGACTTCCGACCACTCAAAGTGCTGTACACTACAGGCCACATTCACACCCATTGTGTTCATACACATTCACACATCAATGGCATAGCATTGAGATCAATTTGGGGTTCAGTATCTTGCTCAAGACACTTTGTCATGCAACGGGAGGAGTCGGGATCAAAGCGCCAACCTTCTGATTAGTGGATGACCCGCTCCACCTCCGGAGCCACAGTCATTATGTGAGAGTATGAAGTCACTGCACCTGAGTCAAGAACTTCCAGAATTGAGACGGAATTTAAATACTCTACAATATGATGTAATGTAACATCTAAATTTAATTTAATGGTAATCTAGCCATTGTTTCATATTGTTGACCATTTTCCCAAGCATGTTGATTTTTGAATGTGCCGTTTCAGGTGACTACCCAGATACTGATTGCAGAGACTTGAGGCTTGCTTGAGTTGGGCAATCCATCACGGTAGATATCATGTCTGCATTTTGACTTTTCAGTGTTGCATTATTGTTGTTTGGTAATGCAGTATCAGAACAGATCACATAACCTGTGTAACCACAAAACAGTATCTTAAAATACATATTTGTCGCTATATGTATCAGTGCTCTATCACCATTACTGAACTATACTGTTAGAAGTCTGCTGCCCTGTTACTGTACTACTATATAAAGTTGCTGCTGTTGACTAAGTGAATGAAGCTGGTGGTGGAACAGTCACCTGCAGGAAGTTCTGGCTGGCACTGATGAGGGCAAGCTGAGCACTGGGGCTGTCAGGCTGAGACTGGCTGCCTCTGACTCCCTGAACCAACTGAGGGATCTGCTCTGCCACCACCTGATGACACAACACACACACAATATGACTATTAGCTCACATTAAGAAATGTCACAAGAAACAAAAAACAAAATAACCAAAACGGTCAGAATGCCATTTAATCCTTTGCTTTGTATTCTATGTTTTTGAATATGAACTGGATGACTTTTTGTCATTTCTGCTGGACTTACAAACAAAATATATGAAAGGGGAATATGTAGGGAGTGAGATACTTTGAAGGGCTGTCTGTGCAATGTGCAGGCTGAAGCAGGTAGTGAGTATGTTATACCTTGCAGCTCTGGACGAGCTGCTGCTGGGCAGCCTGGTTCCTGTTGGAGGAGGCAGCATGCTGGGCAGCAGCTATGGTCTGAGTGGCTGCTGCTGCTGCCTGTTTGGCTGCATTCTTTCAGGAAACAGACATGTATCAGCTTCAAACACTGCTTGCATATGAAAAGCAACAAATAAAAAAGACTGTCCTGTAGTTTGTTTTACCTCTAGCTTGTTGACCAGACGTTTCTTAATGGCATTCTGTGCAGCAGCATTGGTGGCCATGCGGAGGCCTTCAGCTGCCTCTCGCAACTTCTGCTGCTGCTCCTCACTGTCAGGGTTTGCTGCTGCACCCTGGGGTGAAACACACACAGATCATTATACATTAAATGAACAGTCTAACAATGAAATGAAGAAGTCTGTTCATTGTGTTAAGCGCAGACATATGAAATAGAAAGACAAAAGGTAGACCTTGGCAGCCTCCACCATCTTTGCGGTGGCATCAGCCAGCAGCTTGGCGGCTGATAGCAGTTTGCGTGAGTTCTCCAGGTCTGACTCGCCCTCTGCATCCATCTTGATGGCGTTGACCAGATCAGACGTGGCTTGGGCAAGGATACGAGCCTGACGAACCATCTCACCTGGTGGGTTACACGAGAGGAAAAGGAAGAAAATAGAACATTTCAAATCCAAATTGGAGACAGCCCACATCTTTCTCAACGGGTGGACCATGTTCCGAGCCAACAGAGCGCAGGACAAGAGGAGTGTTTACAGTGATGATGCTTGGTGCTTAAACACAGTCAAACTGGATGGACACTGTTTATTTTTATGTGAAGATGAAACCATATTATCATCACTATCTTACGGCTGTTTACATTCTCCCGGATGCAAATTCAAAAAATGCACTGCAGAATGATTTTCTGGCTGTATACATGCATGTATATATGTATATATAAATAATATAAAATAAATACAAACAAAATAAAACAATATTTAAAGTTATTTAAATATGTCATTCTATTCTCGGAGACCATGAATATCCACAACACATTTATAGAAAAAAAAAAAAAAAGCCTTTCACCTACCAGCATCTCCCATTGAGCTGAAGATGTTCTCTGTGACATCCAGAATGCGGTCTGTGGCTTCTCCGTGGCGTCCAATAGGATGGCCTCCGCTGGCATATTGTTTGATATGTTGAAGCAGCTCATTGAGGGCCTGAGTGACACCTGTTGCAGCAACACCCACCTGTTTGAGGAGGCCCTCGTCATTGGTGGCCCCCTGTGATGCCTCCACACAGCCTTCTACAGACTTGGCCACCAGTTTGCCTGCCTCAATGAGCTGCTCCTGGCACACTGGGGAGCTGATGGTTGGAGCCACCACCTTGACAAGTGATAAGATACATTCACATACAATAGGAAAGTTCTGAACTTACTGCAACAAAACTGTTCTCCTCAGCTATAAGATGGAAAATACTACGCTCACTGTCCAGCTCTGAGTAGATGTCTCTCAGGTAGACTACTCACCCTGGTGCAGGCCACCAGCTGAGATGTGGACAGAGCACACTGAGTGGCTGCGGCGATGACGCGGTTCTGCTGTGCTGAGTCCTCTGTCTTCTGGGCAACGTTTTTAGCTCTGAGCACCAGAGCTGCTGCAGCGTTAGCCACAGCCTTAGCCAGCTGCATCAGCATGTCCTGTCAACGGCAAACACACACAGCCGTTAGCATTACTGACCTCTCTTTGATCATGCGTAAAGGAAGGACAGTGACTAATGAGAATGTGTTATAAAACAAAATGAATGCTTGAAATTACATAGATTTATGAAATTACTCACAAAACATAATTTTAAAAGAATAAATCCAGTGAAATGGCAGGGAAATTAAGTAAGAAGGAAAAAGAAAAAGTCTTGCAAAGTTTCAGTCTTTTAAGTGTGTAATTTCACTTTCACCAGCAGTGAAGAGATAGTAAGATACTGGTAGTCATTTCCAACTTAAGACAAATTACCAACTGATTTGACCAACAAAGATCGCTGCATGTCTTAAGGGCTGTCCACACAAATAACTATAACTATGAGTATCATAATGACAATGTGAGCATCCACGTCGATCAAAAGTTTCCTGCCACAAAACCTGGCTGAGGACATTGTTCTATATTGTCAGTTATTCATGGTTTCAGGTTGTAGGTTGTCCTCTTTACAAATACATGTTATTTTGTATAAAAGGATGGCAAAAAAGTAGTATTTTATACATTAAAAAGGAACAGGTTGTCCCAATAATGCCTCTAAAAAGCTGAAACAGGTGTGTTGTTTTAGCAAAACTATTCCTAAAACTTTAAAACAGAAACAGAAGTTCACAGCAGAAGGACAGCCCTTTACAGTGTAGTTGTGTTAAGGATGGTCACTTCATGGCCAGTATATGGCGAGGGAATGATTACATGATTACATTACAGCAACAATCAACTAAAAATGGGCATCTGAGTGTTGTATTAAGATGTTGATTAAGATAAACACTTTAACTTGAGAATAATTTATTTATGTAAATATGTTACACACAGAGCTTTTAACAGTACAATTATCAGCATCAATCAATGCTATGAGACTGACTGATGTGATCCATTAGAATGCAGGTATACACAACAGCAACTCCAGACACTGGGGCCTGTTGAGACATACTCTATGTGATACATTTTGTATGGGTGATTACAGATGATTCAAATTACCCCTGTCCCCACTGGGGACACATCTGATAGCAACTGGATTATGATTAATAGATTGAATTATAATTTTGCTGGAATGGATTACTTACTACCACCTTGCTGACTAACAATCAAATAGTTTTGATTGGCCTTTAAGAATGATGCATTTGTCTTAAGGACACATTTGTTACCATCATTTGACAATAAGAGGACACTCTCCTTCTGGCACCCCTGAAAGATCCTTTACCTAGACACTTTCAAATGTAGACATAAAACAAAGGGAACACAGGACACAGTTTTATAACACAGACAGAGACACTTGTCCTTATATGTTTTCTTATATTAACTTTCTCATTCTTTCAGGTATAAGAACTACCTGAGAATGTAGCTTCAGGGGAAAGTTCCTCAGGCAGTAATGTATTTATTAGGGAGTTGTTTTGTTAATGTTTATTTTACTTGACAATTGTTCATGTGCTCAATGTGGCACTTCAAAATCCATTTGAATAAATTAAATGGATGAAAAATAAGGGCTTTATTCATGCATACATTTTGAATAGCTGTAGTTGTATAAAGTTTATTGTATTCATTTCAAGCACTTTTCTTTAATATACTTCCATTACAAGAAAATTCTTGGTAGGTTAAGCTTAAAAGTCATCTTGGATAGCTCTTGAAAGTCAATTACAAATCAAGCCCTCCAGGAAGTTGCGAAGTTTCAGTCACAACAATGAATGCAAATTCGATCACTCCCGGTGAATTCTGAGCAACCTTGCAATTTTGTCTAATCATCACAACTTCACTGCAAATCTAACCAGTTACATGACATACTTTCTCTACATCACACATAAAGGATATTCTTTCTAGTGCTACACAGCAATTATTAAGTACCATCAAAAGCTAATGTGAAAATAAAAGCAACACTACATTAACCAAAGTTAAGATGGACATACCTGGAACTGTGGATCAGTGTCAGTCTCTCCAATGTGAGACAGCAACTCTCCACTGGCCTGGCCCACATTTCCTGCAGCTTGCAGCAGGTTCTGACGAGGCTAGAGACAAAAAATATTATAGACACAAAATAAAAAAATATGACATATTTACATCTCCCTTTAAGTTTGGCTGTGTACCTCGGTGTTTGCAGGCTGGGCGGTCTTCAGCATGTCAGAGACGGCACAGGCCAGGTTCTTGGCAGCTCCCAGCAGCTGTTGCCCATTTCCTCCTTCGTCATCCATGAGCGCTGCCAGTAGTTTAACACCCTTCGACATCTCTGTCAGGTTGGAGGAGATTGTAGTAACAGCACAGCCCACCGCTGTGTAGTCTGTCTCTGCTGGGTCACCTGAGGGAGGAAGGTAGAACTTACATCACAATGTGCATGTATGTGATTGGAAGGAAGTGAGAAAGTTATAAACAAAGTAAGAAGGAAGGAAGGAAGGAAGTAAGGAATAAAAAAAGAAAGAAGGAAGGGAGGAAAGAAGGAAGGAATAAAGTAAGAAGGAAGGAATAAACTAAGAAAGAAATAAGGAATAAAGAAAGGACAGACAGACAGACAGACAGACAGACAGACAGAGATAGACTCTACCTGCAGTGAGGTTGACCATGGACGCGGTGCCTGCTGTGATGGCATCCACCTGAGAATGAATCTCATGTTTGGATTCATCCATCTTGTTTTTGCGCCAGGCTTGGGATGCCTTGAATGAAGACAGAAAAATCCTCAGGTGACAAAGATCTACAATGGACTGCTCAATACTCATATCAGCTCTCAAACAAATCCTCTTGGACTCAGAATAAAGGAACTCACAGCGTCTGTTCCCAGTGGGGGCAGGGTATCAAAGCCATCCAGAGAGGCCTGGGCAGCCTGGACAGCCTGCATACTAGAGTTGATGGTTCCAGTCAGGGCTTGCTGTGCTGAAGTCTGTGGACACAAAAAGGTACTGTCACTAATATAAGATAAGTCAGGAGTTTTTTTTCGACTTCGAAGAAATAATGCATTTGTTGGCGACTATTTTGTGTGGTGGATCAATCCCCATTTGGTGCTTTAGTGAGTATTTGTGGCCTCAGGATGTGTGTAATTGTAATTTGTGGTAATGAAGGGACATGTCAGCCAGTGCAGCAGTGTGGCTCACTGATGAGTTTTTAATAGTTTTTTCGACAACAGTGGATACTTGTTAGTAGATGCATTTACTGTTGTTTTGGATCCGCACATGGGATTTTTTGATAGTGTGAAAACAGAAAAAAAGAGCTCGATCTCGCAATTCTGTGAAAAAATTCTTTAACATTGTGACTTTACTCTCAGAATAGACTCAAGGCTCAGAGTTTGAGTTTGATATAAATCTGACTTCATTCTAAACTTTACAACATTCATCCTTTTCCCATTCAGACCCAACTCTCCTCCATACTATTAGTATGTTAACATACCATCAGTAAAATATTAATTTTGTTACTGTAAAAAAAATATGTAAAAAGACTGCTGGCCTGCACCCATAAATGTATTCTGCATTGTGCTTGTTAAATAAAACATGAAAATGATTGCCTTCAATATAAGATATTATATGACACGATTTTATATTGTATATGATATATAATCCACACAGGTTAGGTACTCGGCCCACTGCTCTTTTCAAATGCATCATAGGTTTCATGACACATCTGTAAACTTGTTATATCTAAGTTCTTACGGGTACGGAACAGATACAGAACATTACGATCACAGTTTGTTTTGAGTCTCATTCTGCCAGTTAAAGCCTTTTGTGATGTTTGTCTTTTTTTTTTACCAGTGGAGGCATGTGTCCTCGGTGCATCTGTCCACTAGTGATGTGCTGCTTGGCCTGAGGCATGGAGCCCATCTGGAAGCTCTCTGGGCCTCCAGCTCCTGAACGCATGATTGCTGGCAGTGCCACTGAGCCCGTCTCCACCTTGCCCACCTTGTTGAACTGCTGCTGCAGGACTGTGGACCTGGAGTGGTGTGGTTAGAAAGAAAAAGAACAGGAAATGCAGGGGGAGTGTGGTAGCGTTTTTATCAACTATCTCTCTGGAGTATAACAACTAGACAGTAGAGGGGCACTGTTTAGAGAAACTGACAAATATGTTTTAAATAGGGCTGCACGATATGGTAAAAAAGTCATATTCTGATTATTTTTGACAGATATTGTGATATGATTCATGATTAGTACGAATGATATATTTTGATCATCACAATTTTCATTTTCACTGAAAAAAAAAAAAAAATTAAATCATGATGATGTGACATTTGTTGAACAAACAAACAAAGATTTGTAGACCAGGGCATCCCTACAGCACTACAGTACTTCATTATAATGCTGTTTGTCACATAGTTTGCATATTGCACTTGTGATTTGATAATATTTCGATTACCGGGCAGCCCTGGTTTTAACCTACTACTATTTACTGGTTACCAAATGTTTGATATCTGTAAATGCTAAATACTATAGTATAAGCAGTACTTACTTTTTGGGTGACACAGAGTCTTCCAGCATGGTTGACTCTTCATCTCCCTCCAAGCCAAAATGGTCTTTGCTCTTTTTCTGTTGAATGACAGTAATGACATCAGTGGTAACACACTCGACCATACAAAATGTTATTTTAAAGAAATCCTGAGCTAACAAAGGTTGGCCATTAGACAGGCTAAAAAAGCTGTATGGTTAATTTAAGACAGCGCAGATTTAATCTCTTATAACAAAATGCATATATTTAAATAAATCAATAAACAATCAATAAACACATTTAAGCAAAGTAGATTTATAGTTAAAAACACAAGAACAGAAGTTGAATAAAGCATCCTTTCCTTGCTTACACAGTACACAGGTTGATCAATATAACTTCTGTATGGGTTTACATGGACACTGTCACCTTGCTGTCTCTATGGCTGTTCACTTACTTGCCATTAAAATAAAAATACATCACCTACATGCATTTAAAGCAACTGTTTCTCTATAATAAGGAATCCACCAATGTCACCTGCCGCAGATAAAGAATATCTAAAGGTAAAACAAAAAAAATCTAAAAAAACAAGTAAGTAGTATGACCTAAATTAAAACATTTTACCATTGTAAAGTTTTAAGTCAGTCCCATATTAATGACTCTTACCTTTTTAAGGATGATGTCGATGTAACCGGCAATAAGCTGAGCTATCTGCTCTCCCTCAGTGGTCTGCACGGAGTAGTAACCATCCTGGTAGTCTCCAAAGTCCTGAAAGCAGAACAAAAAACAATCTTGGGTCAAAAGATTAACATATGGAAAGGGTTTAAGGGACTTAAGATGCTGATCATGACCAATAACATCCTCGTTCTGAGTCCAGCTGGGGACGTTTGTTGTTGATCTCTCTCCCTTAATATAAATAAAAAATATACATTACATATATAAACACACACAATAGTTTGAAATTACATTGCATTGGGTTCTTCTCATGTTTCCTTGTTTTCCTTGCCTGCATCTCTTCCTCGTGTCTCAGCCCCTCCCATGTGAGACGCAAGGAAGAGAGGCAAAGAAAAGTTTATGTGAGACAGAAATCTAGGAAACGCCTTTTCCTTTGTCCCATCATCTCAAGCGTCATTGGTTTCTGATGACGACAGCTCACAGATTACAGCAGGTTCAGTTGTCTGTAGCCTGCAGGTGTTAACAGCTCTGCATGTCTATACTATAAGGAGTGTTTGTACATATGTGTGATGTACTGTCCAAATGATAATGACACACAATTACAAGTTAAATGGCTGCATGGAATAGCATTTAGGAGTGTAAATCTATTGCTCATAGTTACTCGAATTTTCCAATTAAGTGAATGCAAAATGCTGGATTAAGGCATGTACACTATATTTTGGCAATGGATTGAGGTACAGAATAGCTGATTCTTCTGAGAGCTGAATGAAGCCTGGGGGAGAGGCAGGTTACTACCTGAAAAAAATATTTCAACATATTGCTTAAAGACAAACATTTTTAAACCTTGAGACATTTTGATTTATCTTTAAAATGTAGCTGGTAACATTTAGGTCTGAGTTCCTAACTACACCACAATTTCTGACTTGGTTTTCATTTTCCAGTCAGAGAGAATCAAGGTGAGGGTTAGTGTACATTGCGGCATAAGGCGTCCTGGTAAGGGTTGAAGGGTTGAACTGAGAGCTCTAATACAGTTCGGAAGCAGCTCAGGGTCAATGATATGTTCTGTCTTTCCATGAAGAACTCACCAGGGTGAAGCTCTTGGGTGAGGCAGCCCAGCGTTTGATGTTGGTCAGGCTCCACTCCTGGATCACCTCCTTGGTCTTCTCGTCCACCCTCATCACACTCTCCTTGGTGATACCCAGCAGACGAGGCACCAGCTTGTTCTTGCCCTTCATTTTCTCCTGCAGGATGTTTGAGGAAAAGTTAGAATGTCCTTACAGGAAATAAACCAGCAATGTTAATGCATTTAACTTTGTAATACAGCCGAGACGGAGGTCCAAACTCCTGGCCATTATGGACAACCCCTCCCATCCCCTACATTACAGTGTGGCAGAGCAGAGAAGCTCCTTTAACAACAGACTATTACAACTACATAGCACTAAGGAGTGCTATAGGATGTCAGATGTCTATTTTTGTTTATTTATTTATTTATTTATCTATTTATTTTTCTTAAAGATGTTTACTTATTGTTTTTTTTATTCCTTGTTATTTATTTCATTTTAACTTTAAATGTGAACTGCTGTAACACCTAATTCCCCCCTGGGGATCAATAAAGTACCTACCTACCTACCAACCTATCAACCTACCTACCTACATGTCTGCAAAACACATCCACACCGTGCAAACGACAGATCCTATATTCCGTGGACTGAAGCTTGTGTATAATTAACTACAGGGTTCCTACAGAGTTTAAAATTAACAATCGGGTTTCCCTTTTTTTTTTGGATAACGTGTCAGGCCACACTGCAATCTGTCAAACTGAAATGTCGAGTGATACATTTGATCTCACCTTGACGAGAAAGAACGACACTCCGTAGGTTTTCAGAGACCTGGCCAGCTTCACATAGCTGACTTTGGCCTCGATCTCGGTCATGTTCTGACAGTTTTTGTGTGCCTGCAGAGACGAGACAAACAATCAGAAGAATACAGTATATATACTTAGTGTGGCATTAAGTAAGCAACCCCATCTTTCTTATATTTGTTGTATCTAATGATTTATGGACATTTGTGATGTTATATATGCGTTGTCTGCATAAAACAGTATATCCTGTTTTAAGTTAGACTGTTACATGGATGTGGTACAGATATCACAGTACACAGTGTGTACACTGTATCTCAACACAGTCCACTCCTTACCTGGAAGATCTTTCTCTCTCCTTTGTTCTTGATGTACTCTTTTGGAAGGAACTCCTTTAAACTGAGGAGGAAACAGATCAACTAGAATCAAACAAGCCTCGGGACAATTTCAAGAAGACAAATCAAAACAGAAATGTCAAAGAAAAATCAGATGAGACGAACTCACTCTAAAAATCCAGCCTTGTGTTTGGACTCGTTGTGGTCGCCAAACTGAATCTGACACTGATAGCCAGCAAACTCACAGGCCTTGTCAAAGGAGACTGGATGAGATCCATTCAGAATGTCATCACGGGCCTGTTCACACAGACACACAAACATCAATCTTCAGAATGTCATCCAACATCAATCCGGAGAAAAAAACCCAACAATAATGAGAACAGTATCAGTTTCAAAAACAACCTGAGCAGTACTACCATGGAGAATACTGCTGTTTTCAGCTGTTACATGGCTACTCCTTTCTGAAGAACATTTATTCCAAGGTTAACAGAGATAGTGCCAGTTAGGGATGTCACAAGAACCGATACTTTGGTATTAAGTCAATGCCAAAAGTAAGAAAACTTGTCACTTGTTTTTCTACAGTACCGTAGGAACATGATGTAATTCTGCCAAAACTGACGGGGAAGCATATACGCCTACATGTATTCTAGTCTGCAGTCACTAGCACAGAAGAACAACACATTCAAGATGGTATCAAGTGCAGCTGCAGCAACAGCTCCACCTGACTCGTCAAAAAGAAAACCAGTAAAACTGTTTTCACATATGAACTCAGAACAACGTCCTGAGAATCAGGTTGGGACAATGTCCGAGTTTGCCCCCTCACACATAAGGAAATTGTTTGTGTCAGACGGGTTCTCATATATTGGAAATATTAGGCGAAAGGTTGCAGCGGCAGAGCGTGCTGGAGGAGGACGACGACTTATCTATGCTGACTGTTTTTTGCATTGATATCAATACAAACCATTATAGCTGTGATAGAAAAAGAGGGCAGTGCAACTTAAAAGAGACGCTTCATGGTGTGCTGGGATTTTACAACTGAACTATGAGCAAGACGCAAAAACTATGTGGAAATATGATGTTTTCACATGTCATGGAACAGTTTATATTTATAAGGAAAACACTACTGCCAGGCTTAATTTTCGTGAATTTAAAGAACCTGAAACCTTTGGCAATTTTAGCATACTACATCGGAATAAAAAACAACCACTTGATTTGGATTAATTGCTTGATTAGTTTTGTTGTTTGTTCGTTTTTTTGTTAAAAAAAAAAACCCTTTATGGTATGGGAATTACGAGATTTATTCAGGTTCTACGTGACGCAGTTTGTGTACCGTACGTAGAGGTACGGTTTAAGCCTGGACGGGGGTCTTTCTTGGAGTCCACGTTCTGGCTCTGACTTGTTTAGAAAGAACTTTCTTTTCCTCAGGAGCAAACATCTCGTGTCTCCTCCACACCTTGCTTTCCCCAGCGTTCCTGCCATGGGTTCACAACAGTTTTCACTGGTGGGGGACAACACAGATTAATCAACCAGATAAAGCTCCTGTACTCTCTGGTTTTGGAACTGACCTTCCCCAACACTTATTACTTATATGTTTTAAATGAACCTGAACTTGTTATAGCGCCATTTTCTAGTCTTCTTGACCACTTCCAAAGCGCTTTTTTTACACTTACATTGCCACATTCGCTCCTTCACTATACATTCATACAGTGTTGGCAAAGTCCTAACAGAACTAACTTATTTCATGCACATTCAGACACTGATGACACAGAGATTTGATGTTCGTAACTTGCTCCAAACTTTCGATATCAGGGATCGAAACAACACTTCCGATAGGGACGACCTGTTTACTCTGAGGTATTCATTTCATAACAGAAGTTCTAATCTCAGCGACACTTTT